TTGTGGATTTATTTTCTTCTTTAATAATTAAATTCTCTCTTTTTCTAACTACATTATTGACTGCAAGTTTAATATCTATTAATTGAGGGCAATAATCAATTTCCGAAATTCTTTTTATAAGCTGCGGAATTATATCCTTTCGGCCTTTTATCAGAGACTTTAGTTGACCCAGACAATTTTCAAATGGAAATGCTGATAATTCAGATAATGATTTTTTGGTTTCTAATACATCATCTGCTACGTGTATCAAATTGTGATGATTTAGAGTTTGTGAATCTTCACCGAAAAATGTTGGAAGTAAATTAAAGAATTCTTAAAGAAGCATTTTTGCATACTTTACGTGTGTCAAGGCAAGTTGTTTTGAGCATAAAATATGGCAAGCAACAAATAATAACATAAAATGCTTGTAACAGTCTTTCGTTAAAATATGTTTGAAAACAATGCAACTGCAGTAAAGTAAAACAAATCGATATTGAGTTGCTTTCTAATGCGTTAAATTTTCAATGTCCAACGTTTTTCTTTGAAACTCAAATGGAATTCCCAAAGATGCACTCTCCAGACCTGATACCTTCGAAAAATAAGTGCATTGAATCCAAATAAACATGCTTGACAGGGTCAAAATCTTTTAACTGTAATAGATGACAATCCTTTACGTGACGTTCCTTTGGTGTTTTATTTCGAAAAGAAAAATCGGTTCTTTCTGAAGAATTAGCTTCTGTAAAAACACGTTTTTTATTAACCGTTATCCCATGCACTACACATCGTTCACAGGAACAGAAACCAACGTGACTTTTACATCCTTTAATGAATGCTCTGGCTGGCGTGTCGCAAATAAATCCGAGCAATTCTATCCTATATAAAGTCTCGCCTATTAATATTCCATTATCTAAGAGATCATTCATTTCTTGGACGAATTGTTCGAAATACTCTTTCGTAGAAACTGGTTTTGAATTGCCACCAAAAAGAGCAATTATAAAAGGTTTAGATTTATAATCTTAATGTATTATCTTGCCTAGTATTGGCCACAGCTGCGCCCTAGAATTTACAAAAACTTGCATTCCATCTACGTTTACAACGATACTGATACATTTTTCATTATATATTGATGGATCAATAATTTTTATAATTTTTTGCAACGCTTTTGCAACTCCTAAATAAACAAAAGATCCAAGCTTTCCACAACAACTTTCCATACCCTTAATATCAAATTCTTTCGCTGAATCAGAAGGAACAAGTGTAATACAAGATTTCGGAATGTCAGGCAATCCATCGCTTCACAATTTTGTAACAAATCTTCAATACAATTTCTGGTTAAACTTTTCCTATGCTTAATTGACCATATGTGTAATTTTGTCCTCAAATCTTCTTTTAAGACGACTGTAGTTTCCTTATTATTTTTTAATGGCTGTAAGGTACTAGAAGAACTTGGTTTCTGTTCTTCCAAAGAGCACTGTGATTCACTGTCACTACTTTTTGATGAGCTACTGTCAGATGATTTAAAACTTTCACTACACTCATTCAAATCAATATTATAATCAATATAAGTAGATTGTTGAATAATTTTCTTTTCGTATTTAGGCGACTCTACTAAATTTGCTGAACCTGAATCAATTTCAGAAATATCTTCTATGTTTTCGTCATTTAAATTTTGCTCAGGAAATTCGTGCACAAGATTTTGATCTCCTTGAAAAAACAAAACATTCCTAAGTTCCTCATCAGCCTTTCCTTTTTCTATACTTTCCTCACAATTTGTATTATTCTTAAATGCATTTTCCTTCAAAAGTCGTTTCATTGCACGATACTTTCGTTTCCGAAAAAACATTATTCTTTATAAGAACCTAAAAAAAGTTTCAATTATAAAATAAAACATCAACAATATGACAATCTTAACAAGCAGAGAAATAAATGAATATATCCAATAAACGTGAAAAGATGGTAATACAAAATTCAATTTGACAAATATTCTAAACTTAAAAGAATATTATAGTCTTTCAAACTTACCCGACGTAATTTAATAAAGATAACAAATTTTAAATCATTAAAAATAAAACAATTGTTTAATATTAATTAAAAATAAACTTTATGAGTAGCATATACGAATAAGACGTTATGAATATATAAATATTGTATACACAGAATATTATAATTATTTACCAAAACAGTAGATATAATAATAGAAAGTTAGAGGTTAGAATAAGTTTTAATGACAGCAAAATTAAGTAGTACCAACACATATTATATTACTATAAAGGAGAATCTAAAAGTCACTAGCGCCTCGTCATTGTTTCCGATTTTCCATACAATATGTACTTCTTATTTAAATTTATTTATATTATGCAATATAATAAATGTAAAATTACGCTAATGTTTATTTAGTTTTTAAAATTAAATTATTTAAAATTAAATAAAGAATGCAAGACCAATGATATTGAGAATAGTGATTATAGCTCCATCTCTTAAATATTTGTGAGTTATTAAGGTACTACAATTTCATTTTAAAACATGAGTTCTCCCTTCTATTCATAGTTTACATTCTCAATGCCGTGGTTGAATATTCCAGTTCATTCGATTCTTTTAGCCCATGTCTTTACCCTTTTTATTAAAAAGTGATTTCTCAATATCAATAATAATAATAATAAGTAAAAGAAAATTTTATTTTAAAAAATTAAAATTTAGAATATCCTTTTTAAAATGTTATAAATTAATAAAGAATAAAAAATATGTTTGAAATATATAATTTGAATTTTCTAAAGTAGTGATGTTGGTAGACTTGCTTTTTTACTGACGTCGTTTATATGGTTGACAGTTTCCTGTGAACGTTGAAGATAGTGTAGTGTGTGAGATTTTTCGATATTATTTCTATTGCTTCCTCATAAAGGAAGCCTTATAGTGATGTCGATTTCCGAATTTTTTAGAACCAATTATTTTTACAAATTTTCAAGTGTAGTATACATAATTCGTCGAGAGGAACGAATGACCGGATGTATGTGTGTATGTATGTGTGTGTGTGTGTGTGTATGTCACCGATTCTTGTGGACAAATTTTCTCTTACACGTCTTGACGGATTTTGATAAAATTTTGTAGGTGTATTACGGATACCAAAAATCAGACAAAAGCTTCAGCAATTAGTAAAAAATAACTAATTAGTTTTTATTTGAATATTTAAATTTAATTTAAATAAAATAAAATATAAAAATTATAATTAAAAAAAATAATTAGTTGAAAATCACTAATTAATAGTAAATAAATAACTAAATAAATATAATCATTTTTTTGCTATTAAATTAGTTATTTTTAACCTATTCAAATTTAGAGAGATTGACAATAAATTTTTAATTTACAGTTTTTATCAAAATTTTTTTGTTTTTAGCAAAGAAATATTTGAAATATAATATCAAATAGTTTAAAAAATATAATATATCAGTTAAGCTTTTTTTTAATAAAAAAACATTTAATTTATCACTAAATTAAATATTTTTAAACATCATTTAAAATTGTAATATGTAATACATATTTTGTATTAAATATAAAAATAAAAATCAGTCAGTGATAAAAATATTATAGTGCCTAAAAAGCTATATTTTTATTCAGTTATTTATTTATAGATATTTTTAGACAATCTAACATATTTGATCAAAATTATATTTGCACTTTTACTATGATCACTTATTTTAAATTAGAATTTTTTATTTTATTTTAATTGTCTTTTAACTGTTTCAAATACACCCGCGCTGCGCAAATCAACATGCGCTGTATGTTTAGTACGCTCAGCGCCGCATAGGGTGAGCTAATTTTTAAGTTTCTCGCAACCAACAAGGAACTAGAATAGTATATAAGAAGGTAGATTTATCACGTTAACTTGCGCGAAATACAATTCTGCCCATTACCTCTCCAATTTTTGCACTGGATGTGAGGTAAATAAATTTTTGAACTTTGAACGAAAGGGTTATTCACACTCTGATGTGAAAAAAGCCATTTTGTGAAAATAATTATAATTAAAAAAAATATTAATATTTTTGAAAAATAAATAATTATTTTTTTAAATAATTATTGAAAAAATAATTTTATTATTTATTTAAAATTATTATTAAAAATTTTTTTTTTATTATTGGTTATTTAATGACAGCCATTAATGAACCAATAATGGTTGCCAATTAATGGCATCGGCGTGGACATCCCACGATTTTACCATTAGTGGTCCACTATTGGGTGCCAATAATGGGACAATAATGGAATGGTGGCTCTCATTATTGGGCCATTAATGCACCAATGGTTTTTTTCCCATTGGGAACTTATTTTTGCGTACATTTAAAGAAATGCGGTTTTTTTGTAAGAAAAAATTCTTATTATACATTCTTGGCCCAATTTATTATATTTCAGCTACACACAAGGGGTTAAAGATCAGACAAAGGTTACCCAGCCGATGATGATAAGACGTAGCATTCTCAATCAGTGAAGATCAAAAAAGATTACCCAGCTGATGTAGACTAGGTGGAAGCATGTTCAATCAATGAAGATCAAACGTAGATTTCCCAGAGAATGAGGCTACATGGTAGTATGTTCAATCAGTTATCTGACTGATGAAGGCGACATAATTGCTGATATTTACATTGACTCCGTGGTGGAGAAATTAATTGGTATTTAAATTAATAATATTTACTTATTTCGTCTAAGAGTGTCATAAAATTATATTTTTCATAGTATTAGGGGTTTTTCTGCTTCATTTTTAATTCGGTTATTATGTTTTGAAAGTAAGCATCATAAGTGTCATACAATATTTATTGCATATAATTCATATTGTGTTTTCATGTTTTGTAAGAATTAAATTAATACCCTAGGAATAGTTTTTCAATTCTTTCTCTAATGTTTGAAAAATTAAGAGTCATTTTCGAATTCTGTGGCGTTCAAAACCTGAAGAAAACACTTTAATTTTACACTCTGATTTTAGGAGAATTTTTGATGATTTTCTATTTCATTCTATAATTTGCTGTGTTTCTTACCTTTTGTCGATCTTTCATGGATCCACGTCCAAGCACAGCCATTTTGCACATTGTGTCTTCCTGCAATCGCTTTAGGGAATTTCCCTTTGGTCCCAAGAGTTTTCCCACAAAGTTAAACTACAAGGAATTTAAATCAAACTTTTAGTGCACAATCAAATCTCCTTGAACAGTAAAGTTGAATTGGTTGAATGAGTAAAGAAAGCAAATAATTCATCTCATAAAAACTTGAAAAATATATTATTAATTATATTTGTTTAGATTTCACATATTTTCGTTATTTGTATTAAAAAACATAAATCTATTTTGACTCCTAAAATTAAATTTCCACAAGTGCACACTTGTATCGAGTTCTTTCAAAAATTCTAGACAAACCGTCGCTCTGTACGATATTTGAAAAGTAGTTGGTCCGCATACAATAATTTATTGCATGCTATTACTTAATTATAAAAAGCAAGCTAAGAATTTTCAAAGTACAATAAAAATTACCTTCTTGAGATTATCGCTAGAAGGATATCTTAATACTACGTAATTTCTTTTCAAATATTTTCAAAAGTTATATTTTTTAAAAATTCTTAATTCTCAACATGTTACAGAATGGTTGTAAAACAACCAGTTAGAAAAGAAGAGGATAGATTTGGGATTAGAGATCACTAAGAAATAGATGTTACGAAATATGATTTTGTGAGAATCATAAAATTGATACTAGAATTTAACGGAAATGTTTTAGAAAACCTTATCGCGAATTCTGATTGTTTAAAAAATAATTGATAGTAAACATGGCATATAGAGGGGAAAAATTACCACCGCATACAGTAAGGGGTCACCTGTTCAAAACAAATATGACCAATAACAGATAGTTTATTCAAGTTCAATAATGTATACAAGTGGATTCTAAATTTTGTTACATAAATGTTGTTAATTAAAAATATGTTAGATTTCAGATTAAAAAGTTTGTTTTCCCTTCACTGAAGCTACTCTGTCCACCAGAAACATGATAGAGGGTAAAAATTTTAAGAAGTGCCAATTTTTATGTGTCACGCAGAAAATACCCCATATCAAGAAATGGAGCATTACTTTATATTATTATCGTTTGGTTTTGAATTGGATGAGTTTTCGTATTAAAAATTACTTAGGTTAAGAATAGAATTTCCGTTATTCCTTTTTTGAATAAAAATATGGTAATGCAATTTAAAAAAGAGAGTTTGAATACTTTATAAGTTGCAATATTGCGTATAGTATTAAAATAATATAGATTTTTTAATAACAATTTAGGTTAGTAAAAAAAGTTTGCCTTTTATTTGTAAAATAAATCGTTATTCCTACTATAATGCTTCATAAAAAAATAGATTTTATACATTTTATTATTTATTGTTACTTTTCATTTATTCAGATGTTTTCAACAATAATAAATTAAGATGTTTCCATAAAAATATGATTTTTTATAAAATGTAAATAGATCTTTCAAGTATTAATTGTTTTTTTTATTGTCAAACAGCACAGCACATAATATCTCAGTGGCGGATCCAGGGGGGGGGCACGGGTGCTTTCCCCCCAAAAGTCAAATATTCCTATGAGATAGAAAGAGATAACATTATATTGATTTTTTTTAAATGGATGGCCCCCCCCAAAAACCTTGTCTGGATCCGCCTCTGTAATATCTACTGAAAATTTCAGAAATATTTTAATAAAATATTTGAAATATATTATATTTATATACGTTCTTTATGAAATATATAAACATAAAACGTTTCTATTCGTTCTATATTTATAATATATTATTTATATTTATTTAAGAACGTATATATATTCTTTAATTCAGTTTTCTAATAACTCTCACCTTCGGATGATCACGAACGGGAACTTGTACTCTAACAGCAACTTTAATCGGCTTATCTCTAGTAATGTCCACCATTCTCCTTTCGCCTCCATCGTTGCTTACACCACCTCCATTTCCACGGATTCCACCTCTTCCGTTTCCGTTTGAATCTGCAATAAAATTAATGTAATAATTAATACTTCATTAATATACAATTTTTGTAACAATAATCAATTGTTTTTATAATTATCTAATTTCTTTCACAATATAGTTTAATATATATGTATATTAATTTGATTTACGGATTTTTAATAAGAAATAATTGTGTTTAATTTTATCACAAAGATTCTTTGTAATTATATGTGACCTGGGGGTCGATTATGTAATTTCATTTCACTCCTTAGTCTAGGGAAAGAGGACTTAGGTGTCAAAAATCATAAGTTTCTTACTATTTTACTTAATTAAGTAAAATATTAGTGCTTAGAGACATAAATATATTCGAGTGTATTTACTTGCATTAGTATTAAAAAATGTTATATATTTTAAGTCACCTTTTAGCATTAAATTCAGTACATAGAGGCTCAATTGAGTGAATGTACTATATGCTAACATCTAATATTACGTTAGTAACCGTGGCACTTTCCCGTTTGAAACTAAGGTTTAATTGAAAGCAATTAACGCGAACTTTGATGAAAGCATAAGTAGTACCCACCCTCTTAATGAAAGAGATTGTCGATGCAGACATACATACATATATATAAGTGTTAAATTTAGTTACAATTCATATTAAAAGTACATATATAAATTTTAGTCCATTTTTACCTATTATAATATCAAGTAAAGGATCCCAAAATAGAGATCAACTTTTGAATATTTTATACTCTTAATGTTACGTTTCGTTTAATGTTTTTACTTTTCGTAAAGAAATGTTGATAATTTAAATAATTTTATTATGGCATTTTTAATGTCATAATTATGATGTAAGAATTACACTTTAAACACATGAAACATCAAGTACAAGAAATTATGTATATGTATTTCGATAATACTCAAAAGGAGTTTTCAATTTCGATATAAATAATAAAATGGGGTTTAATTATAAAAAGACTAATTGTTTAATAAGATTGTTACATTTTGAAATATGATGAATTGTGTAAAATACTCTTTGCAGAGTAAAAACTAATTACTCAATGTTTAAAGTGGTGATTCCAAGTCACAGAATTTGAATGATGACACTTTATAAATCTATACAAGTTAGCAGATAATTATTCAGTAATAATTAAATACTATAACCATAAGTATGTCTTCTCCACCAAAAAGTCGATCAATAGAATCAATCAACAAAGTGAAATGAATCAAATAATGAAACAATTTTATCTGCTTCAATCCAATGATACTTATTATTATGTTTATCCATTGACCGCCAATAGATATGTCGACGTATTGATTACTTATTTCGAGTACAAGATGATTAGAGATTAATAATGACCATTCACATTGTAAAGATAACAATTCGATTGAATATTCACAGAAATGTTGTGATTTTTTAAAAACACAACATATATTTCTTAAGGTACAGATTATTTACTTAATGATTATCCATGCTCATCTCTGCAGGAAATAAATAAAAGAATTAACATTGATTTCAGCATAACTGAAATAGGAGATTTTCGATATATTTTCTCTCTTATACAATATGCTTGTAAAAACATAACATAAATAAATATCACAGACAACGATAGTTTAAAATATTTTTGTATGAATTCGAATATTTTTCAGTCTATTAAATTCTTTTACTTTTTAAAAATAAATTGTATAGCAGGTATGCTTAAACATATAGATGCGAAGTCGGGTAATGTTCATAATATGAAAAAAATTTCTAAAAATGAAAGAATGTTGTTTGTTTGGAATTTTTTATTATTACTGATTATACTGATTACTTCTGTTAGCGAATTCTAATCAAATTTTATTTTTATCATAGGTGTTTCTATTTCTCTTTTTCGATAAAATGACTGTTTGTTGTAATAAAATTAATTAAAAAAATAAAAGATTTCTGATTAATGACTTTTAAATTAATTTATTTATTATTTGCATTATTTGCACATGAGATAAGCTTTGAAGTTTCGAAATAAAAATGTCATGAAATAAAAGTTATTAAAAAGTTACAACTTTTCATGACTAGCATACTAGCTAGCATAGATATACATGCTTGCATATCTTTTATATTTTAAAAATATATTAATACATGTGTCGAAAGACATTTTTGAAATAATTTTTTTAGATAGTTCGTTGCAACCAGTGGTGGTTCTAAATAGGAACTAAAAATAATTGTAATTATAACTATTCTTAGTTGCAAATATTTATAGTTCAAAATAATATGGTAAATTAGAAAAAATTGTAGTCATAACTATGTTGTTAATTTCAATCAATATAAATTGTAAATAACAAAAACTGTTACACTTTTCCACTGCAATCATCATATAAGAAAGTTATTAAAAAGATATATGCCAATTACATAAGGTAGAGGGCCCCAAGGTGGCCATGCTCTAGATATGATACAATAATATTATAAATGAATATCGATAAACTTACGTTTTATACAATTTTTTGATAACTTTTAAAAAAATGTCTTCCTGGCCCTAAGGTGTCCACCATGCATTTTTATGTAAAATCACTTTTGAATTTTTTTACGATGTAATATTTATCAAAATATATTACGAAAAATGTAAATTTTATCGATTTGGAAAATTTTTATAATGAGCAATAAAATTATTTAGTGTTTAATGTACGAAATAGGATAAATAATTAACAATATTTTAGAATGGCTTCTTATAAGCAAAAAACAGAGTTTGCAAATATTGATTCTGTGATTATCCTTTTGAGGGGCGATGGGACGTATACGTCCCACCTACAAAAACCTTAATATCTTTGACGATAATTAATATTTTTGAGTCAAATTTAGTTCGTTCTCTTCAGGAAAAATAGGGCTTTAAAAATATGTAACCTAGATCATGTTAAAAAATTCTTATTGTTTAAAAAAAATTCATAAATTATTGTTAAAAATCACGAATTTTTTAAACATTTTGAAATCGACTAAAAATTGTTACTCGGGAGTTTTTGGGGTCGCTGATTACGAATATGACATCAGTTTTTAAAAATTCAAAATGGCGAATCCAATATGGCGGCAGATTTTTTTTAATTTGTCCAGTTTTACCTGAAACTTGTCACTCGGAAGGTTTCAGGGTTCGCTGATGTCGAATCTGATGTTAGTTTTTAAAAATTCAAAATGGCGGATCTATTATGGCGGAAGATTTTTTTTAAATTGTCTAGCTTTACCTGAAACTTGTCACTCGGGGTTTTTTGGGATCGTTGATGACGAATCTGATGTTAGTTTTTAAAAATTCGAAATTGCGGATCCAATATGACAGATGACAAATAAAAAAATTTATTAGATTGTCACAAAACTTGTTACTCGGTGTTTAGTCTATTTTTAAATTTAGATTGTGGATTAATAATTAGCGAAGAAATTTTTTAAATTAATAAACTGGAATACGTTTATTATAAAACTGCTGCTAATTTTACAACAAAAATTTCTAATTAGTCAGCAACTCAGTTTTTACAATTATCCAATTGATCTTAGAATTCTAAAAAGCATTAACTCTTGGAGTAAGTATCAAGCAAATTTGAATAAATTTTAAAAAATTTCATCAACCATATTGCAAACGCCATTTTGAATTTTAAAAAACTATCACCCAATTTGTAATCAGTGACCGCGGTTCACCCGAGAACCACCTTTTAAGTCAATTGTGTCAATTTTGTAAAAATTCATCCGCCATATTAGATCCGCCATTTTTAATTTTTAAAAACTAACATCAGATTCGTAATCAGCGACCCCGAAAACCCCCGAGTAAACGTTTTCAAGCGAATCCGATTGATTAAAAAAATGTCCGCCATATTGGATCCGCCATTTTGAAGTTTTAATAACTAACATCAGATTCGTAATCAGCGATCCCGAATACCCCCGAGTAAACATTTTCAAGCGAATCTGATTGATTAAAAAAAATGTCCGCCATATTGGATCCGCCATTTTGAATTTTTAAAAACTAACTTTAAATTCGTAATCAGCGACCCCAAAAATATTAAGACATGAGTTGTAAAGAAAATCCGTCCATATGAATAATGTGCCCTTCAAAGGGTTATAAGCCAAAAACAATATATTTCAAATAAAATGACTTTAAACTGATTTTTGCAACTATTTTTTTAATATTTCAGTGAATTTTTGAATGGTGGCCCTGGGAGACACTCTTTTAAAAGCAAAATTTCATCTGTTTTTCCAAAGTCGTTTAAGTTTTATTTTCCTTAGTAAAATCAAAAAAAAATTTTGCTAAAAAGTTAGCTAAGGAGATACAGTTTCAGGGCATTCATTATTAATTATGTTATATAATACCGTTTAGGAATTACAGACGTTCAAAAGATGGTTGGCCACCTTGGGGCCCCTTACCCTACATAAATTTTTTTACAAAATTTCGTTGAAACCTCTTCGAGTTATCTTTTTACAATAAAATGAATCCACACACAGACACGCAGTCAGCGATTAAAATTTATATTTTTCGTACACACGATTTTATTTTATGAACTATAGAAAAACAATGTCATAAGAGAATAGTTGTTAAAAAATTGTTTAATCTTTATAATTTTTCATTTTATCAGGAAGTTTTTTCATTTGAAAGGTAAACCAGTACAAGTGTCGAAGCAAAAATTTGTGCATCAACCAAACATGGATTACCGTAGTAAATTTTTGGCAGCATTCGGCTTAATTTTGCTACTGCTAGTTGGAAAAATTTCAATCTTGACAGAAAACAATGTAAGTTAAACATCAAACATTAGAACCCGGTAAAAAGGCTAGCATTAGAAAGTATTAAAAAAATTGAATTCCTTTTAATTCTTTTTGTCCTCAGTTTTGAATTCCCAATAAGAGTATATAACTAAAAAAAATTTAATTCCCTTTAATATAGTCACATAAACGTTGACCAAGGTATAGAAAGGAATTAAAAAGCACATAATTTTAAGTTAGGTATAGAAAGGTATTCAATTTTAAATATTGGTATTTATGGCAAATTTGATGCTCATGAAGTCAATTTTTCTGTGAAATAAAGGAAAGTAATACAGTCAGGTCCCCATACTGTTAGATTCCAAACTGTTATGTCCTCAGTAGTGTTATGTTTTTGCATAACCTCCAAATTCAGAAGTGTTAGGTGACGTCACGTTACGTCACCAATTTTCAGGGCCGTATTCTTAAGCCCAAAGAAAAGGGGGCATATACTTCTAGGCCAAACTTGAGGTGTATATATTTACGTTCCTGAAAGGTGCGCAGTAGACATACTTTGAGCACATAACAGAGCTGAGTCAGGAGGAGTGGGAAATTTCTGGAAATGTAACAGTATGGGGACCAGACTGTAATTAAAATCCCTGGTTAAAAAACCGGACAGATTTCGGACTAATCAGAAATTTGTCCGAAACAATGTGGTTTATGGTGAGGTTTTTGTCACCCGAAATTAATCCGGGAAAATCCGAACTCTATACGGTTTGTGAACAACTAGTAAAACCGGAGTTGGTCCGATGAAGTCCGAAATTAATCAGTTAATTTTAACTAGTGAATCCGGAATTAGTCCGAAACAGTCAAAAATTAGTCCGGACAATTTAGTGAATGTTAAAAAAATAATTATACAAGTTACACATATTAATTATTATTACTTTATGGTACATTCAATATATTTTTTGATTTACCTATCGCAATTTTATTTACATTAACTTAAAATTTCTAACGCTTGGGGATTCGAACCTACACCTATCTAACATTATAACGCACCGAAATCGAATACACTAACCACTATACCACGCTTGCATGGGAGTTCAAATTCATAATAGAATTTATCAAGTGCCACGAAAAGAAATGACAAAAAACTAACACATCAGTGTTAATTATAATATTGAAAAAGATAACTAATAATACTAGTGTAAAATCAAATTGACTGCAAAAGTAAATATTTTACTTACCATAAGTAAATACCCTGAATAAAAAGTCGGACCGATTTCGGACTAATCCGGAATTTGTCCGCAACAGTACGGTTTATTATGGAGTTTTTTCACCATGAATTAAGTTTGAAATCAATACCGTTTTTTATAACTATTGAATCCGTAATTAGTCCGGTTTAGTCTGCAGTTAGTCAGATTATATGCGACTAGTAAATGCAGAAGTAATTCGGTTGGTTTAACTAGTGAATCCGCAGCTAATCCGAAACAGTCTGCTTATGGACAGGTTTTTGTCGCTCGGAATTGGTCCGGATAAATTCAAACTCAATGCGGTTTATGTATAACTAGTGAATCCGGAATTAGTCCGATCTAGTCCGAAGTTAGTCCGATAATAGGCAACTTGCAAATGTGAAATTATGACGATTAAATCCGGAATTAATCTGGTTTTGGTCAGGTTTTTGTCATACGTAATTATAATTAAAGTTTGAATTTATCTGAATTTAATACAAATTGTTTTTAATATACAAATTCAATATTATACCAAAATCATTCCGCATTAAGTATTTCAATTGGATTGAATATGGATTGTTTTGGACTGTCTGTAGATTGTATATATTTACAAATTCCATATTATCATAAGACTTATTTTCGGACTGGGGTGTTTTTATCGGATATTATTCGGATTTCCGCTGACAATTACCGGATTCTTTGCGTACAGATTTTGATTCGTACCATACTTGTTTTGGATTAAATCTTTAACTGGATTAAATTCGGATTATTGCCGACTAATTTAGTATTCTTTACATATTGATTGGGGAATATTCCGTATTTATTTTAGATGCCTTTTTTAACGGACATATTTTCGGATTGTTGCGGACTAATTACGGAATTAATTCATAGACATTCAAGAATACTTCAGACTGTTTTAGATTTCATAATTTTGCTAGGATTGATATTAGATTAACGCGGATTATTTTCAGACTATTTCCGGTTTCTTAGCATACATATTTCGGATTGTTTCGTATTTGTTTGGGAATAGAATTATTTTACCATACTAATTCCAAATTAAAGCGGACTAATTCTTTGCGTACAGATTTCGGATTATTTCATGTTTGTTTCGGATTATACCTTTTAATTGGATTAAATCCTGATTGTTGCAGACAATTTTTGGATTCTTAGCATACAGAGTTCGGATTGCCCCGGACATTTTGCGGATTAAGTTTTTCTAACTAGATTAAACTCGGATTGTTGCGGACTGGTTCCGTATTCTTAACATATTGGTTTCGGATAATTACGTACTTATTTTAGAAGAATTCTTCACCGGTCATAAGTTCGTATTGTTGCGGACTAATTACGCACTGAATTCGTAGACATTCAGGATTACTCCGGAGTATTTTCGGATTCAGGGTTTCGTTCAGATTGATATCAGACTAACGCGGATCATTTTCGGACCTTTCTAACTTATAGTTCAGCTCATCAGTAATGTCATCATAAACAGAACAACAGTAATCATATATGGGAAGAACAAGAAATTTAATTAGTAATATACGAGTCTGAGTTGGAAGAAAATTTTTATTTCTGTTTAATTGTTGTAAAACTATATAAATTTTTCGCATAATTCCGAAAACATGCTCCTTCTAAGATAAGGTTTTATTCAAAGTCAAGCCAAGGTCCTTTAATCTCTCCTTATATTCAATAGGAGTGCCATTGACTAGTAAGGGTGGGAAAGTTAATAGTAAATTCGAGGAGGGATGACTATTTTCAGCAATCACCATAGCCTGAGTCTTATCCAAGTTTAGAGTAATGAGATTATTGTTCGAGCATTCAACCACGTAGTCAATATCAGTTTGAACTTGTTAACGTAATTCATAAAAACACGCTAATGGACCAGATAAATATAATTTAAAATCGTCCGCATATTTATGAAATTTACAATATTTAAGGTTTGATCCAAGGTCTGTAAGGAATAAATTAAAAATTAATGAGAAAAGCGAAGCTTCCTGTGGTACACCACATCCCACTCTGTCTCATTCCGAATAATCGCCATTTCCATCTATCACTCTCTGTGCTCTGAAACTGACATAAGACCCAAACCAATCGCATTCTGATCTAGAAAACTCAAAATTATGTAATTTACGTTTTAATAGTTCGTGGTTAACAGAAGGAAATGCGTTTGAGAAGTCAAAAAACACAGCAATAGTTACATATTTCTTATCCATAGCAAGTTTAATATCAGATGTAAAATTTAAAGCTGCTGTACAAGTACTATGTTTTCTCTTTCTCTTTTCTTATGAGATATAAGATTGAGTCGTTACAATATAAGCCAAATGTCCCCTGACTTACTCTTATTTTTAATAACATTAAAATTATATGTATTGTGTACATCCTTGATCCTTGTCTTGACCAAGTTCCGAACCCTCCTGAAATCAGCATGATCAGTAATATTTCTTGTTCTTTTACATATTCTATGTAATTTATTTCTTTCTTTAATGAGTTGTCGTATCTCATCTGACATCCAATGTAAGAATCTCCTTTTTACACTTGACATATGAGAGTTGACTATATCTAAGTATGTTAAATTAAGATAAAAAAAGGTATTAAAATGTTGCATCGCAACAATTTTTATTTGTTATTCTTCCAAAAACTGTGGTAATCATACAAGAAATTATTTCAACATCTTTTCTAAAAAATAGTAATTATTAAAATTGTAGAAAAAACTTTACTTTAATTGTTTAATCATAACTCTTATATTGTACATTTCCTATAAAAAATAAATAAAAACAAAAACTATTGAAAATTTTCTGTTTCTCTTATTTTCCTATATTTATAAATCTACGGTAATTAATATTTTCAAAAATAAAAAAACTTTAAAGAAAAAACAGTTTAGATTACTTTAGGGTAAAATTTTCTCAACAATATTAATGTTTGCAATGTGTCCGTCCATTTTTCTGAAATTTGGTGTAAATGTAGTGTCGTGTAAGACAAGGAAAAGCATAAAAATTTTCGGTTTTACCAGGCATTAAAGTTTAAAGAAATTTTTTTTTAAAATTTAGTTACTCTGGGACGTTTTAATCGATTTTGTTCATATTTATGTAGCTAATAATTGTTATACCAGCAATTTTTAATGCAATAAAAAACATTCAAAAAATTTCCAAAATTTGACCCAAAAAAATTTTTGATTTTATTTTTTCAGGCATTAGCACTTCACCGATTTTTTGTAACTATGATATTTGGATTTATCTTCTCTAGAATTTTTTTCAAAACAAAGTTTATTACTTATGCGAAAGCGTCGCATCCGAATTCCAAGTGTTACACAATCTTTTTTTATTTCTGTATAGTTAATCCTTCCTATTATTTTGATTATTAAGTTTTTTTAATAATTTTTAACATAATAAGTAATAATACAAGTTGTATATTTTTTTTACAATTTTGGTGCTCATTTCATGAACACTTTACTTCCTCATGGAGATAAAAATAATAGAAATATATGTGAATAACTTTTTATAAATATGGTAAAAGTGATTGAATTTTGAGTCAATCAATGTATTTTTAAATACCCTACAAGATAGTTACAATAATTTAATATTTAAATAAAAATTTTCAAACAAAAAAGTTGAGAAAATGTCATTTTTCACAATTTTTTGTTTTTAAAATACCGCAATAATTTCGAAATTTATTATCGAATTAGGTTCCAAAATAGGTCAAACAAAGCGTTTTTTAATGCTCTATAAGTTGATAACGATAATTTTAAAGTTACTTCTACGTTTTTCAATAAAATTTTTAAAAAAGTCTTATTTTCCAAAATTTTTGATTTTTAAAAGTTTAATAACTCCGGTTAATATGGACGAAAAATGTTCAATTAGGGCTCAAAAGATGCGTCTAAAAAAACTCTACAAAATTATGAAAAAACATTTATAGGTGTCCTAACATTATTTTAAAGTTATGGGCAAAAAACGTTTTTTTGCAAAATTAAAAATAAAAAAAAATTTAGTTAAACTTTACCTATTAATATATCAGAAAGCACTCTCACTTTATGTCCGCAGGTGAGATCTACAATTTTAAAAAAATTCAACCCAAAAGCTCTTCATGATTTCGAGATATTTATGAAAATGTGATGTTTACACACACACACACACACATACGGAATGACATTTTTTAAAAATGTCACTTTTGAACTCCTGAGGTCAAATAACATAAAGATATGTCAAAAAATCTAACTCGAAAAATTTTGGTATTACAATACTTCCTCTATGAGCAAGTAAAAATGAAGTTTACTAGTAGTAAATTATGTTATTAGTTTTATTTTGTTTTAGAATTATTTCGGTTAGTTTTAAAGTCTCCATGAATTTTTTTGCAAACAAAACTAGAGAAAATATATCCAAAAATCATAGTTACAAAAAATCATAAATAAGAGTATAATAGTATATTGTGCATCAAGAATTTTTTTTGGGCAAACAATTGCACAAAAGTATTTTTTCTTGAAGGAATAGGCGCTAAAAATTTAAAAATATTTTTCCAAATTGGTATTTTACAGTTAGAGAAAAAGGAAAGAAACCAATCCATGCCTGATGATGATATCTGTACTCTTTACGATTACTCCCTTGTACTTGATCAATGGCTATTTCGAAAAAATTATAAACCATTAATAGTAACTATAGCACGTAAATTTACTGATGGAATAAACAGAGTTAGAAATATATCTCAGAGTAAAAGGATATTATACGATAATGAAATTACCAACAAACATTGGAGTAAGATGCATAATATGATAACGGAAAATTTTTATCTATATGAAGCTCACAATGTATACTACTTTGTTTATCCAGTAAACATTCTAGATAATTCTTTCACTATATACTGTCAAAAAATGCTATTAGGCGATCAGTTAGGTGTAACGTTTGATTTTGTTAACGTAAGAAAAGAGAATTCATTTTTTGAAGATATTTTAGTTCCCCTAAAATCAAATTGCTCCAATTGCCCTCTGGTAGAATATGTTAACAAAAAACTAAAGACAGGTGAAAGTTTCTCGGAATTATTTGTATTAAGAGAACAATTGTTTAGAGAAAAAACAAAGTACACTTCCCTAAAAGCATTCGACAATGATTTCGCTTGCAATTCGATTGGATTTAATAATAATTCTGAGAGCAAAAGTTTTTTAATGCATTTTAACACATTACTGCAACAGATTCAGAAAAATAGCAACAATTTTGATGAAAGTAAAAAGAAAAGAATTTTTGAAAGAAGTCTAAAGTGCTTTAAGTCGAATCATCTATTTGTTACAGAAGAAATTTTTAACGATAATATTCAGGAACAGACTCTAAAGCACCCGTTTACTGGAATTAATTATTTAAATTGGATTAACGAAACTGTATTTTCACTTGAAGTGAATGATAGCTCATTTGGCAACATTTGTAAAAATGAACATAAAATATATATATTTAAATTATTTTGTTTTATAAAAGATATATCAAGTATTACATCCCACAACATACCAGCGTGGATAGATACTCTACGACAACTTGTCACTTCATCATTAAGCAAACAACTGACGTGGTTCAACAGTTTAGTGACTTTGTATCAAAATAAAGATTTAGTGGAAAGTGATTTAATTTTATTCCAACTTGAAAATTTGAGAAAAGAAATGCTAAATGAAAGTGTGCATTGGATGAGTGCAATGAATATTACTTTCAACTTGGTTTTGAATTTAATAGTAAGTAATATATTATAATTAACAAATAATCCCCTTTATATATAAAATTTTTTTTATATATAAAAAATAATAAATGTCGTGCAAAGTATATAGCTTATCTTTAGTCAACGTAAAATTTAACACAAAACATGATTGTATGAAATTTATAAATATTTGTGTAACAATTTTTTAATTTCAAATTAAACTTGGATATCATCTAATGTTCTTAACAAGTTTTCCCACATTGAAAAAAAAAGATAAAGTATGAGTTTTACTTAAAAGTTCAATTGATTTTATTATAATTATTAAGAGAAAGAAAAGTTGTCATTTTATAGAAAGAATTGCAGAATTTGTAACACTTTTACTATTCGGCATATATTACAAAATATTTATTTGGTACACATTTTTGGTGCTTTTGCGGTGCAATGTCCCACAATTAGTATATTGAAAAATAATATTAAAAAAACATTGAGATTAATAATAACAAATAACAATTTTTAATTCTAAATATTTGTGTCTACAGAGAGAAAAGAGTGGTAATATGTCTATGTTAAGTTCACCCTGTTTATTGTACAATTATTTGGACACAATTGATTCCTTACTTCTTGAGATGGAATTCAAGAGATTGGTAATAATCGTAGCTGATAGTATGCAGACAGGGATACGGAAAGTTGCACCTATAGCAGGCAGAAGAGTAGTACCAAGAATAAAAAGACAAGATCTTCATTATACAAAACAGTTTGTGTATGATGAAATAATGAAACATTTTTATCTGCTTCAATCCAATGATACTTATTATTATGTTTATCCATTAAACTTCAATAGATATGACGACGTATTGAGTACCTATTTCGAGTACAAAATGATTGACGATTATTCAAAAGTTGTATTTTATTTCGCTAACTATTCCAAATATTATTTTCCCAATGAATGGAATAGTACTCGTGATTATGAGTTAGTCATTCCTGCTCTACCAGACAACTGTCACTTATTTACAACGAACTGTACGAACCGTTTTATAAGTCCCATATATTTAATTAATCTGCATCAAGTATTTTATAGACGCTATCCAAAATATTTGTCAATATATGCTATGGTTTACAATAGATTATCAAAATTTGTTTATGATGACCATTCACATTATAAAGATAATAATTCGATTGAATATGCACATAAATTTTATGATTTTTTAAAAACACAACAAATTTCTTACCATGCAGATTATTTATTTAATAATTTTCCGTGCTCATCTCTGCAGGAAATAAATAAAAGAATTAACATTGATTTCAGCATAACTGAAATAGGAGATTTTCGATATATTTTCTCACTTATACAATCTGCTTATAAAAATATAACAGCAATAAATATAACAGACAATGAAACTTTAAAATATTTTTGTATGAATTCGAATATTTTTCAGTTTATTAAATTCTTTTGCTTTTTAAAAATAAATTATATAGAAGGTATGCTGAAACTTGTAGATGCGAAGTCGGATTATGTTAATAATATGACAAAAATTGCTGAAAATGAAAAAAATGTTATTACTGAATTTTTGTCAGAGACATTAAAATGGATGGACGAAATATTATTACTTGATTACTTCGATATGTATAATGAAGGTAGAATTTTAAGACAGTCTAAACTTTCATACTTGAAAATACCAAAAATTATCTCAAATGGTTCTGATTCGTTAGACAAATTCTATTTAGTAATAGCAGAAAGTGTAATCTATCCTAAATGTAATAATTACATAATGAAAAAAAAGTTTACCGTTAAATCGACAACTTAGTTCTCAAGTCTTGGAGATGACCAATATTTATAAAGAAGTTGCCTGATGAAACAAGTCATATACTATTTCTTTAAAAATTAAAATTATTTCACCACTTTTTGGCAATCTACGACTTGAGAAATAGTTCACGACTTTTCGGTTAACTGTTTTTTCCCTTTATTCAAAAGTGAATAATTAGTTATATGCTAAGTATAATAAGCAACCAATTTTTCAATTAGTGTACTACAGTCATATTGTTTTTAAAAAATAATTTTTATAAGTAATTCAACTTAAGCTAAGAAGATCAGTAATTTTTCTTGCTTTCTCTCTAAATCGGAATTAGTGAAATCCCACTGAAGAGCAGTGAATTTCGACAGAGTTTTTCAGTGATATTGCACAGGATAGAAGTGTGAAAATAGAATCATTGAAAATCAGTCAGATTTCACTGATTTAGTTTTAACCCTTTAACGTCCAAATTTTTTTTTCCATTCAAAATTCATGACACTTGGTACCTAGGGGTTTTCGGGGTCCCTGATTACGAATCTGATGTCAGATTTCAAAAATTCAAAATGGCGGATCCAATATGGCGGACCGGAATTTTAAAATTTGGTGAATTTTTTTGAAACTTGGTATCTAGGGGTTTTCGGGGTCGCTGATTACGAATTTTAAGTCAGATTTTAAAAATTCAAAATGGCGGATCCAATATGGCAGACCGAAAATTTAAAATTCGATGGATTTTCATGGAACTTGGTATCTAGGGGTTTTCGGGTTCGCTGATTACGAATTTTAAGTCAGATTTTAAAAATTTAAAATGGCAAATCTAATATGGCGGACCTAAAATTTAAAATTCGTTGGATTTTTATGAAACTTGGTATGTAGGGGTTTTTGTGGTAGCTGATTATAAATCCAATGTAGCTTGGAACTAGTGGCTTACTTAGTCCACGTCGTTAGTTCTGGGTCACGCAAAGTGTAAGTTGGTTTCGTATTTAAAAATTATTAAAGACCTAATACAGTTTCTAAAATTTATCCATTATCTTTAAATGCGACATTTTGAATATTGAAAATATGACATCTAATTCGTAATCAGTGACATCGAAAACCCCTAGATTCAAAGCTCCATATAAATTCATGAATTTAAAATTCTCGGTCCGCCATATTGGATTTGCCGTTTTTAATTTTCAAAATCCTACATCAGATTCGCAATCAGCCACCTTGAAAACCCCTAGATACCAAGTTCCATGAAAATCCATCTAATTTTAAATTTTCGTCCGCCGTATTGGATCCGCCATTTTGAATTTTAAAAATCTGACATTAGATTCATAATCAGCGACCTCGAAAACCTCTACATACTAAGTTTCATAAAAATCCATCAAATTTTAAATTTTTCTATCCGCCATATTGGATTTACCATTTTAAAATTTTAAAATCCGACATCAGATTCGTAATCAGCGACCTCAAAAACCCCTAAATACCAAGTTCCATGAAAATCCATCAAATTATATATTTTTGTCCGCCATATTGGATCCGTCATTTTGAATTTTTAAAATCTGACATCAGATTCGTAATCAGGGACCTCGAAAACCCCTACATACCAAGTTTCATGAAAATCCATCAAATTTTAAATTTTTCGGTACGCCATATTGGATCCGCCATTTTGAATTTTCAAAATCTGACATCAGATTCGTAATCAGCGATCCCGAAAACCCCTAGATATTATTTTGTAATTAAATATATTAACCCTATTTGAAGATAGGTTTTTTATTCTTTATGGTACAGCATATGTACCGCTGGACGTTAAAGGGTTAAAGAGTTGTCCATACCTATAGTGAAATTTGTAGTTTCAGGTGAAAAATTTATTCCCTGTGTCGTTTTTTATTTGCATTAATATACAAACTTTAATGTAACTGAGATACGTACTTCTAAGTAACTATTTATTGTAATAAAATTAATTAAAAAAATAAAAGATTTCTGACTAATGACTTTTGTATTATTAAAAAAACTATATGTTCGATAACTACCATCACGATTCAGTGTTTCTTATTATTGATTTTATTTATTTATTATTTGTATTCTTTGCACATGAGGTAAGCTTTGGACTTTCAAAATAAAAATTTTATAAAATAAAAGTTATTTAAAAGATTATAACTTTTCATGACTAACATACTGGTTAGCATACATATACATGCAAGCATATCTTTAATATTCTAAAAATATATTAATACATGTGTCGAAACTAATTTTTTAAATTATTTTTTAGATAGTTCGTTGTAACCAATGGTAGTTCTAAATAGGAACTAAAAATAAATATAATTATAACTATTTTTAGTTGCAAATATTGATAGTTCAAAATATGGTGAATTATAAACAATTATAATCATAACTATTGTTAATTGCAATCAATAGAAATTGTAAATAATACAAATTTTTACACTTTTCCACTGCAATAATCATTATAAAAAAGTTAATAAAAAGATCTCGCAATTACATACATAAAAATTTTTACCAAAATTTGTTGAAACCTCTTCGAGTTATCTTTTCACAATAAAATGAATCCACACATACACACACAAATTTGTCAGCGATTAAAATTTATGTTTTTCGTGCACGCGATTTTATTTTATAAACTATTGAAAAATAATGTCGTAAGAGAAAAGTTGTTAAAAAATTGTTTAATCTTTATAATTTTTCATTTTATCAGGAAGTTTTTTCATTACAAAAGTAAACCAGTACAAGTGTCGAAGCAAAAATTTGTGCATCAACCAAACATGGATTACCGTAGTAAATTTTTGGCAGCATTCGGCTTAATTTTGCTACTGCTAGTTGGGAAAATTTCAATCTTTACTGAAAACGATGTAAGTTAAACATCAAACATAATAACTTTTTGAAGTACAGTTTCTCTAAGTATGTTAAATTACGATAAAAAAGTATCAAAATGTTGCATAGCAACAATCTTTATTTGTTCTTTCTTTCTATTTGGTATCTATATTTATTTTAAAAATAAAGAAACTTAAAAAAATTTAGATTACTCGAGATTGCCCTAGTCAACTAGTCAAAATTTCTCAAAAATATCAATGATGGGAACGGGTCTCTCAATTTTTCTGAAACTTGGTGTAAATGTAGTACTGTTGTGTAAGACGAGAAAAAGTAAAAAAAATTTATTTAAATTTTTAAAAATTTGGGTTTTACCTGGCATTAAAGTTTAAAGTAATTTTTTTTCAAAATTGAATAACTCTGGGACGTTTCAATCGATTTTGTTCATATTTATGTGGCTAATAATAATTGTTACACCAGGGTAGGTCCATGCCTAAAAAATCAAAGTTGTCCCCTAGTTCTTCGATTTTGTTGAAACTTCAAAATTGATGGAGGGTCTGAAACTTTAGGAGATATTGAATTTTTTGTCCTTGCGCGCAACCGTAAAAAGCGCATTTTCAGGCTATACTCTTCATATAAACTAATGTTCAAAATAACCTATAATTCGTAAATTTTAACCGAATTCAATTTTTCTTTTTGGAAAATTACAGGCTATAAATTTGTAAGAATACTGTGCATTTTAAAAATTTTTATTTGTTTAAACAAATTATTATTATTGTTAATTACTAACTTTTTACATATTGTACCTAGAGGGGTGCATTTTTCTGTAATTTTAAAATTTACCGAACCTTACATAAATACCGATGCAGAAAGTCAATTTGATCAAATTCCAATTTGCCAGAAATCTAACTTAACTGAATATGAATTTATTCGAATCGTTTCTTGGTAGAATTGTAATTTTACAGAAGCTTAATTAAATAGAATCTGAATACTGCAGAAAAACTTTTTGATAATAATCTATTTTATCAGAATGTACATGTGTTCGAATATTAATTTGGTAGAAATGTAACTTGACCAAAAATCAATTTGATAGAAATTTTTGGCGCGAATTTTAAGATTGAGCAATCAGAGATTATCAAGAAAATTGTGATTGGTCAATTTTAAAATTCGTGACGAAAAATTTATATCAAATTGATTTTGGGTCAAATTAAATTTCTACCAAATTAATATTCGAACACATGTACATTCTGATGAAGTAGATTTCTATAAAAATGTTTTTCGGCAATATTCAGATTCTATTTAATTACGCTTCTGTAAAATTATAATTCTACCAAAAAACGATTCGCATAAATTGATATTCGGTTAAATTGGATTTCTGTCAAATTAAAATTCGATCAAATTGACTTTCTGACAAATTATAATGTCTGTATCTACAGACAGAAATGAGCAGTAGCAATAATATGTTAAGTTCACCCTGTTTATTTTACGATTATTGGGACACAATTGATGCCTTACGTCCTGAGATGGAATTTAAGAGATTAGTAATAATCGTAGCTGATAGTATGCGGACAGGGATACGAAAAGTTGCGTCTATAGCAGGCAGAAGAGTAGTACCAAGACTAAAAAGAGAAGATCTTCATTATACAAAGCAGTTTGTGTATGATGAAATAATGAAACATTTTTATGTGCTTCAATCCAATGATATTTATTATTATGTTTATCCATTGACCGACAATAGATATGTCGACGTATTGATTACCTATTTCGAGTACAAAATGTTTAAAGATTTTTCCAAAGTTGTTTTTTTATTTTACAAACACTTCCAATAATTTTTTTCCCAATAAATTAAATAGTATTGGTTATGAGTTAGTCCTTTCTGCTCTACCAGACAACTGTCACTTATATACAACAAACTGTACAAACCGTTTTTTAAGTCCTATACATTTAATTGATCTGCATAAAGAATTTCATAAACGCTATCCAAAATATTTTTCAGTATATACCACTTTTTACAATGGAATACCAGAATTTATTCATATTTACCATTCTTATTATAAATATAATAATTGGATTGAATATGCACATAAATTTTATGATTTTTCAAAAACAAAACCAATTTCTTACTATACAGATTATTTATTTAATGATTTACCGTGCTTATCATTGCAGGAAATAAATAAGAGAATTAATACTGATTTTAGCATAACTGAAATAGAAAATTTTTATTTCTTTTATAATCTTACACGATTAGCTTATAGAAACATAACAACAATAAATGTTACGGATAATGATAATTTAAAATATTTTTGCATGAACTCGAATATTTTTCAATTTATAAAATTTTTTTGCTTTTTAAAAATAAATTATATTGAAGGTGTGCTGAAACTTATAGATACGAAATCGGATTATGTTGAGAATATGAAAAAAAATGTTGTTACTGAATATTTGTCAAAGACATTAAAATGGATGAATAAAATGTTATTGTTTGATCACTTTAATATGTATAACGAAACTAGAATTTTAAGACAATTAAAACTCTCATACATGAAAATGCCAAAAATTATCTCAAATGGCGCAGATTCGTTAGACAAATTCTATTTAGTAGTAAGAGAAACTGGATTTTATCCCAGATGTAATAATTACATGAAAAGAAACAGTTCACCATTAAATAGGGAACATAGTTCTCAAGTCTTGGACACGACCAATATCTTAGTAATGAACGACAAAATTAATAATTTTCTTAATTAATATACTGTTATATGGTAATATTTTGTTTTTTT